GCGCGGCGGCTGCCCACGCTGGCCGCCGGGCCCCGGCCCGCGCTGGACGAGACGACACACCCCGTGCTGGCCACACGGCGTCCTGCAGCGCTCACATGTCACTCGTCTCGCATGTCACAGCTATGCGCAGGGACCCTGAGCTACCTCGCCACACGACCTGCTGGCACTCTACCCCCGCACAGAAGCCACACACCCGGCCACAATCCCGTCTGCCTCATCTCCCAGGAAATAACCATGAAGTTCGAGGCTTCAGACCTCCGCAGAGCCTCCAAAGTCTCTCCCCAAAATCCCCCAAGTACAAGCACTTCTACTGCCCTGGGTAGCTGTGGACTCCCTAGACCCCCAGCGTGGCCACAGTCTGGGACCCCTATATTCTGATGGGCCTCCGAGTCCCCAAATAGGTTGTCAGCTCCTGCGCCGTCGCTCAAGCACCTGGGAGGGCAGGAGCCGGCAGGGAAGCAGTACTTCAGGGCACCACTGCTGCCTGCCTTCCGGTGTAAAGTGGCATGGACATGGTACAAGGCTCTGCATTCACCAGGGTCCTTCTCTCATGCTGGGCCCAGAGAAGGCCTGTGGTTAGGTCGGGTAAATTTCAGAGACACTGTCTCCAAACTGCCCACCACCACAGGGTCCCACAAGGGTCCCACAGCATGATAAGGTCTGTTTTTTGGGGTTTTTTGGTTTTTTGGTTTTTGTTTTTTGTTTTTTGTTTTCAGATACACAGGATGCCATCTCTCTATGCACTGGAGCTTGGCAGCCGTGCCTGCTGAGGCGGAGGGCTGGAGGGAGCACAGAAAGACATGTGAGTCCCCAGATCCCCCCCATACCTTCTGAATTAGATGTCACGGAATAGTGTATTACTCATCGGGGGAAACAAAAGGTTTTCAGCTAACAAAGGCTCTGAAAAGTCCTGCAGTGCAGAAACTGGTTTAAACTTACAAATCCTGGTGTCCTTTCCACCCTTAATTTGCCACAGATTGTTGTTGTTCACTTGTGTTTGTTTTGGGTTTCACTTGTTTACATGCAGAAGAAACTTGGAAGCTCTAGCGCAAACCCATCCGTGAACAGAGGAGGAAGCAGGGCCCGGAACTGGCCCCAGTTCAAACAGGGAGGAGGCAGCTGTGGAATGAGGCCCAGGCCCTGGCCTCCTTCCTCTACCAGGCCCAGGTCCAGGCTCACGGTGGGCCTCCCTCCCACCACACACCTTCCCATTTGTGGACCTGGGTGCCTGAGCCTCTTGCTGGCTTCCCACAGGGAGAGAGGGGCTGCACACCCACCAACAGCCGGCTCACTGAATATTTTTAACTTGAACAGGAGAACAGGGTGGAAGCCTTGGGAAACGAGTCTGTGGTTAATCATTGTCTCATCCAGAAGTCTAAGCTGGGCCCAGAGATGAGGCCCAGGAACCAAGAGGTGCACAGGTAAGCGGGCAGAGAAGTGAGGGGCCCTGGGTCCGACCAGGTCAGGTAGCTGGGTGCCCGGCATTCCTGGAGAAGCTGCAGGGATCTTGGGGCCCCACACTCACACATGCACAGTTGTACTGGAAGACTCACTTGCACACACAGGCTTGCCCCTTGTGGGCCTGAAGCTAGGCATAGAGAGCGGTGACGTACCCCCTTCCCTTCCCCATAGACACCAGAGCCTCTCATCCACGATGTTCCCGGCATCTGCAGCACCAAGGTGGATGTGTGGGACTGAGCGTCACCTCCATGACTGTCCTCTGAGGATTCCGCCTCATTCCTCTTCTCCCCGTAGCCATGCCAGGGGGGCAGGGCCGCAGCGCCGAGGCACAGAGTCTACACCATGTGCCAGGGGCCTGGGGACCCCCTCGGGCTCCTGGCCAGCAGTGCTGTTCTTCCCTGAGCCTCCATTTCCCCATCCACAGAAGGCAAGTGGTGAGTAATCACTGCCACACCTAGACAGAATGGCGTAGAGAAAGTGCCCCAGCGTCCCACATTGCCTTCCGGGACGCCTCCTCCTCGGACAAACTCCTTCCCTCCTGAATTTCTGTAAAATAGCGTCCCGCCCTGTGGGGACGCTGTGTGCCCCAGACAGGCAGCCCATCCATCCGTGAAATGGGTACAGGAACACCAGTCTGTCCCAAAGTAGTCCCCATGCCCAAAACCAGGCTTTGTCCCTGAACTCCAGCCCCACCCCACACCCTCACTCAGAGCCTCAGAGCCAGTATGTATTCGTCAGGGAGATCATTTTGGGTTAGCTTTTGTCATTGTTTTGATTCTTTTTCCAGTACTGAGGATTAATTAAACCCAGGGCCTTCACACTGTACTACTATATCCTCACCACCAGCCCTCCTTTTTTTTTTTTTTTTTTCAAAACAGGGTTTCTCTAAATCACTAAATTGCCCAGGCTGGCTAGGCTCAAACTTTTGATCCTCCTGTTTCAGCTTCTCAGAGTGCTGGGATT